TAAATATATATATATATATATATATATATATATATATATATATATATATATATATATATATATATTAAGCAGAATCACACACACAGACACACAAACAAATAAACACACACACATTCTTTATTTTTATACTTATATTATAAATTGTATTTATGTATTGGTGAGATGATCCAATAAATCAAATAATTCAATTATTCAATCAATAAATTAATCAATCAACCAACAAATCAACAAACCAATCAATCGATCATCCAATCACATTCATCCATTAGTTCGTTCGTTCTTTCCTTCATACACTCATTCATTCAATCATTCAAATAAATTTTTGACCCATCGTAATAACACTGCTTACTCATTTGAATGCATTTGTATTATATTACGATAAAATGCACTTGAGTTGAGATGAACAACAATTTCAAAAATGCCATGTTATTTTCTAATTATTTCTTTTAATTAGTTTTATAATTATTAAAATTTTTAGTTTTGATCGAATTGTCGACTTCAAATGATTTAATTAATTAATTGGTTGATTATTTGTGTAATTAGTTAATTATCTATTAATTTATTTCAAAATTTTCGTTTTAATTAATGTAAACAATGAACAAGCAAGTGACAGTAAGCATGAGAGAAAGAGTTAAGAATGAATAAATTGAAAAATTAGACCATTACGTTTTCAGATAGCTACTTTTTATTTGTAAAAAAAAAATAAAACACTTCATTTCAATCATTTTCTTTAGATGAAAATTGAAAACGTTCAAAAACACTTGTATCGAGTTTAACTTTTTTAAGTTCCATAAAATGTTTTAAAAAAAAATTCGATCCATAACGTATAGGAAAAAATGCAGTGATGTGGATGTGGAATAAAACGAATGCCAACTTTTTAAAAAATCAATTTATTGCCGGTTTGGTTTGGAAACAAAAAAAAATCCAAATAATTAAGGGAGTCTGCACTTTTTCACTCCATATGCCTTTCCTAAGAAAGCGTGTTACTGTTACTAATACATATTATATGATTTATAAAGATTTACGATGTAGTACTGATGCAATTAAACAATAAGATTGACAAGAGGAAGAGCCGGCCTGGAGTTTGGGGTGTGTTGCAGCTGCAATCAAATATTAGGAATTGAAATTTTCGTCATCATTATTACAAAGTTGTTTTCTAGTCACGTGACA